TCAAAGAACCCAGTGGAGATTTGGATCTTGGACTCCAGTAAGGAATTGAATGAATGAAGAGGTTGGGGGCAGGGGAGAGAAGATGAGTAAAGAGTGATGGATGGGAATTTTTTTTTAGATGTGATTATTAAAACTGGGCCACTGCCCAGTGAGACAGTTTCCATAACACATCTTCATGTCTGTCAACCCCAGTGCTCGGCAACATGTGGAAAAGGAACCCGGATGAGATATGTCAGCTGTAGGGATGATGAGGGCTCAGTGGCAGATGAGGAAGCCTGTTCTACCCTCCCTAGGCCATCAGCAAAGGAAGTGTGTGCCGTGACCCCTTGTGGGCAGTGGAAGGCCTTGGATTGGAGCCCTGTAAGCAAGGGAATGATTGATTTGGGGCTGGGGTGATTGGATTTGGGCAGAGGTGGTAGTGGTGGCATCAAAATGATGTTTCATTTAACAAAAGCTGGATTATAATAGTTGGATTTATTTTGTGATTTCCCTCCCACTACCATCATGCTGATGTTTTTGTACATACAGTACCTTTCTGCCATCTTCACAAAATGCACATTTTTTTCTTCTATGTATGACCGTATGACGGCCATGTTTCCTTTCTGAATGTCCGTCACAGTGCTCCGTGTCCTGTGGACAGGGTAGGACAACTCGGCAGGTGGTATGCGTCAACTACAGCAACCAGGTAGTTGACCAGAGTGAGTGCGACGTGGATGATATCCCAGAAACAGAACAGGACTGCTCCATGTCACCCTGCCCACGCCAGAACCACGACCGGGACATACCCCAACACCCCTTCCAAAATAAGGACTATCGCTCCAGAAGCACTGACCCCAGCCGCACCCATGTACTTGGTGGCAATCAGTGGAGAACCGGACCCTGGGGAGCAGTAAGTATTTACAAAGACATTTCTCTGCTTCCTCGGCTTCACTCTAGTGAGTGGAGTCTGGGGGAAACCGACTTAAGGCATCATTAGAGTATTGCTGTGGTCTCCAGGCAATCACACTGGTGCATTTTGATTTGATTTAGACAAACTATAAAAGCAGAATTGTGGGAGCTGATGTCTGGCCACGTGATAGGGTTTACATGCACCTATTAAGTTGCAATGACTTTAGGGATGTCACTCCTGTGGAGTAGCAACCTTTCTGCTATACGATGAGTGTTACAGTCTGATGGTCCACAGGGGGGACATTGGGACTGTGATTATGATAGATCCTCCAAGAGACTGACAGCTCTGATCTGTGGGGAAATTAAGCAGAGAGGGAAACTTTTCAAGAAGGAGAGTTTGAAATGAAAGCAATTTTCTTCCTTGCTATCTTCCAAGATGAATGCACTCTCAAAATGACATAGCTGGCTGTGGAGCTGGGGGAAGATTATTACCCTGGATTAGGAGGTAAATGCTAGTGTACCTAATATGATTGGCATGATGAACAGGTAAATTAGCAAGAATCTTTAAAACCAGCAAAGGGAAATGGGCCTTGGGGAATTCTCTCTCTCTCTCTCTCTCTCTCTCTCTCTCTCTCTCTCTCTCTCTCTCTCTCTCTCTCTCTCTCTCTCTCTCTCTCTCTCTCTCTTTCTCTCTCTCTCTCTCTGTATGTGTCTCTGTCTCTCTCTCTCTCTCTCTTTTTCTCACCAAAAGTAAATGATAAAGTGAAACTCCAAGAAACAGCTTTATTTCATGGAGGGGGGAGGCGGGCTTAATGGAAAATATAGTGATCCTGGCTATTCTCTGACCCTGTGTAAAGACAGTAGGAATTTACGTATTATTATGCTTGTTGTGAAGTCATTGCTGTCATGTTTAACTCTTTGTAACCCTATTTGGGGTTTTCTTGAGAAAGATACTTGAGTGGTCTGCCATTTTTTTCCAGCTCATTTTACTGATAAGGAAGCTAAGGCAAGCAGGGTTAAGCAACTTGCCCAGGGTCACACAGTTAGTAAGTGTTCGAGGCCGGATTTGAGCTCACAGAGATGAGTCCTGACTCCAGGCAGGGGCACTCTATTCACTGCACCACCTTTATGCAATTACCTTTTAAAGAAATGGTTTCTTATTCATTCTGTTGTCTTCCTCTGAATGGTTGTATCTAATTATTTAGTGGGTTGAATTGGGAGGAAAGGCGGCAGTTTTCCACTATGGGCATGATTCAATAAGTTGGTTTTATTTGGGGTGGGGGGGATACTTATGCCTAAAAGTTCTGTACATATCAGACTTTGATCTTCTTCCCCTCTTTCCTCCCCTTTTCTCTCCTCCCCCCACGTTATCTTTCTTTTCATAGGTCATAAAGGATTTAGGCTTTGAGGGATTAAAGAGTGGCTAATGGAGATAATCTCTGAGTACCCCATGATTCTTCCTGTTTCAAGAAACTCAAAACCCATACCCATGCATTGTAATGATAGCTTTTAATGCTTCCCCAGAGAAAGATGCAATTATTATTTGGGACAACTTCGGCCACCTTGTCTTCCTTTCAGGATTAAAAACCTTGCCTCTGGGCAGTGTTCCAATTCCTTTAGGATTTGGTCCATTGACTCTTCCAGCGCTGGCCAATCCCATTCTTCCCCCTTTGTGCACAGAGGCTTTAGGCCTAACTAAGTAAAGCTATCCAGTCTTGGTTTGACACACCTGCTCTGCCCTGCTCCTTAAGACTTTCATAAAGCCTTTATAGACTAAGAATCTGGAGTCACCAATAAAGTCTTGTTGGAATGGGAAGTCCACTTTGTAAGGGATGAATGAACAGTTCCTATTTTTTTTAAATGCATGCAGAAAAGTAGTCTTTGTCTACAACTCACTTGCAAACAGTGCAGCTCTCAAGAGCTCTATCCTTCTTGTCAAAGGATCAGTTGATGGAATGACAGTGTTCCCTTATACTCCCATCAGTCTCGCTTGCATCTGACTGATGTGGAAAGAGTGGCAGAAAGGTGTTTTTTTTTTTAATGTAATCACCCAGGGAGCACAGGAAGCTTGCTAGCAAAATCACAGGTGTTCAGATTACTGAGCACCTACAAGTGTCAGAGGAAAGTTCTGGTTGACAGGAGGGATGGATCACTGGGTTCCAGAGTTATGTTGGCTATCCAAAGGAATGTCAAATAAAACTGATCAGAATTGTAAGCAGAGCTATAAGGTAGACATTTGGGCACACATTGGTATAAATTCCTGAATCTAAATCTAGAAATGCTCAGAGAGTATAAAAAGAATACTAGGCCAGCCTTAAAGTTCAGAACATCTGGATTCAAATCCTGCTTTTGACACATATTGAGGGTATGACCTTGGCTACAACATTTAGTCTCTGAGTGCCCCCCAGCAAATCTATGAGACTGGAGTTCCTGACACTGATGAAATTGCAGGTCAAGGACTAAATAAACACTTAAGCAAAAGAGTTAAAAATTTACTGAGTAGCTGCCAGCTACCCAGAAAAGTCATAGAAAGAGCCCGGTCTTGGAGTCAGGGGACCTCAGTTCAAATCTCAACTCTGCTGCCACAGAATTTAAGCGGCTTGTCCAGGGCCATCCCAAATATTTAAATAGTTACCTGATTTCTCTGATTCTTCTTCAGTAAAATGATGGGGTTAGATTAGACTGTCTCTTCCACTAAAGCTCTGAGCTTTCATGCCATACTGGGCTGGGCACTGAGGAAAACGGGGAGCAAACATCTGACATGGTCACTGCCCTTGAGAACCAGATAGCCTTGTTGGAGAGATGAGCTAAGGAACCAAAACAACTTGAGAATTCTATCAAGTTGCATATAATCAGAGGATAAGCAATCTAGGCCAGTGCTAGATTTCATATAATTCTACCACGAAGGCTCCGTTTCTGTTACTGAAGTCCTGCAGAGTTGAGTGAGGCACATAGATGTCAAAGGATTGGCTCAGGATTACGTATCACTTACACAGTTAGCAAGCATTAATTAACTGCCTACGTGTGCCAGGCATTGTTCTAGGTGCTAGGGATTCAAAGATAAAAAACAAACAAACAAACCCCACACTCTGACCTTGGGGAGCTGTGTTCTTTTGGAGGAAATAAGAGGAAACAACATGTCTCTATATACAAATATGTTAAATAAAAAGATAAATTTGTGGAAGAAGACAAAATAATAGCTAGCATTTATGTAATGCTTCATGATTTACAAAGTACTTTATCTCATTTGGTTCTTACAACAACTCTCTGAGGTAGATGATATATTATCCTTATTTTATGCATAAGGAAACTGAGGCTGGGAGATGTTAAGTGACTTGCCCAGGGTCACATAGCTAGTAAGTACCCGAAGCAGGATTTGAACTCTCAAAATTCAACATTCCCCTGTGTTACTGAGCTCTACCAATGACTGGGAGGAAGACAACAGGAAAGATGTCCTGTAGACACACAGATGAATTAAGTAGCAGAGCTGAGGGATGGACCTAGGTTTTCTTGATCCACAGCCCACCACCCCATCTTTTTAGTGTGTCAAAATATAGGCAGTGTCATCAATGTAGGGAAAACTGGAAATGTGCTCGTCTTTCAGTTCTCCAAGACAAGGAGTCTCTTCTGACACATTTACTCAGGGCTCAGAATTCATACTGGGTTACTTAGTGTTTATACTGAATGAAAAGAAGGGAAAGAAGAAAGGAAAAGAGAGGAGAGGAGGGAAGGAGAGGGTAGGACAAGAGCAGAGAGGAGAGGAGGGAAGAAGAGTGGTTAGGAGTTGGGAGTGGAAGAGAAGAAGAGAGAGGGAAGGGGTGAGAAGGGAAGGAAGGAGAAGGGAGGACAAGAGCTGGAGAGGAGAGGAGGGGAGAAGAGAGGATAGGATTGGGGAGTGGAGGAGAGGAGAAGATAGGAGGGAAGGGGTGAGAAGGGAAGGAAGGAGAAGGGAGGACAAGAGCTGGAGAGGAGAGGAGGGGAGAAGAGAGGATAGGATTGGGGAGTGGAGGAGAGGAGAAGATAGGACAGGAGAGAGGGAAGGAAGGATGATGAGAGAGGAGAGGAGAGGAAGTGAGAGTAGGGGAAGGGAAGGCACAGGAACTGTACTAAGTACTGGGGACACAATGATCAAATTCAAAGATCATTTCCCTCAAGGATTTGCATTCTAATGGGGGACATTCCAAGACGTATAGGAAGTGGTGGACAAGGAATGGTGGTTTGGTTTGTAAAGTTGCATGACATGGCATGGCCAGAAGAGCCCCAGCATGGCCCATCTTTTCCATATCCAATGACAGAGTTAATTTCATTTGTTTCTAGAACTGGCCAATATGGGAGAGGCATCTGAAAAAATCACAAACCCCAGTATTTTGAAGGCCATCTATAGCATATAGACCAGCAGTCTTTGGGGATATAGCATGGGGTTCATGTGAACTGAACAGTACAAACACACACACAAACACATTTATTTACATCAGATTGATTCCCCAGAGAAAAATAATAATCTACTGCACATGTGAACTGGTGTTGGAGATAACAATTTCAAAACAAAAACAACCCCTGTTTGACCAGAGAGGGCAAGGACCGTAATTCCCAACAGCAGCTAATGGCAGTGGGCAAGAGGACCAAGGCAGGGAAAAAATACATTGGTGTAAGATGAAGCTGGAGAAGTAATGATATTTGCTGTTTCAAAATAATAGCATTTGTGTGGGGTTAGATAAGGCTCGAAAATTCAATATCTGAACAAAGACCTCGAAATTGTTACTGATTCCTCTCAAGGCTTGTAGGATCTCGGGAACTGGGTTGCTTTTGTAACAGATGGTTCCTTTATAGGTGAATCAGACTAGTTTGAACAGGGGGAGCTAGCAAACACACAGAGAGTTTAGAAAGATAAGGAAATTATGCAAAGGAGAACATACTCCTGAGATGCAGATAAAATGAGACAGAATGGGAAGTTACTGTAGTGCATTGTTGGGTCTATGAAAGTGTGATAGGAAATAATGAGGATCAACATGTTTCTGGAAGGAGATCTGACCATATGGATTTGACCATAACATATTTGGAGAAGTGAAAATGCAATGAGCTACTACTATGGAACACTGGGAAAGGGTTGGAAAAAAAAATAGGTAGTCACAGGCATTATACTAAAGCTTCCTTGCTTTGATTCAAACCTAGAAGGGACCTTAGAGGTCATCTCATCCAGCCCCCTTTTTACAGAGGGAAAGGTCAAGTCGCAATGATATTAACTGACTTGCCCAAGGTTGCACAATGATAAGTGGCTGGGTGAGGACTGGAGGCCAGATCCTCCAACTTTAAAGCCAGAACCTCTGGGTGTTGTAATGTGATCATTGTGAACAACAGCCCTTTCTTTCCATACTTAAGTAACTTGACATGAAAGCTTCATTTCAGCCACTAGATATTCACCAAGTGCAGGATTTGGCCCATTGGTTGTAAAGGAATCCCAGCTTGGAGCAGAGAGCAGAGTCAATATAAGCACTTGGAGTTTTGAATGACAAAATCTTTTTTTTTAAATCTCACCCCCTTGACCTTTCAGAAAGATGCTGTGAAGATGACATGAGACAATAAATGTGATTGTGTTTTGGAAAGGGGGAAAAAAAGTTTTCTCTCCCTCCTCCCCTTTTTAAAAAAATGCCTTTTTTTTAATCATAGTCGTTCTTGGATAGATGCTTCTGTCTGCACTACACACCCCCATACACACACACACACACACACACACACACACAATCTGATTCCTCTCATGTAGTAAAGAAAAGCAAGTAAGCAAATGCAGTTCACCAGCTCCATTGACTACATCTCACCGTGTGCCCAAGATTAGGAGGGGATAGTCTGGCTGCCATGGTTAGTGCAGGGCATTGTGTTTTAGGAAGAAGTGTTTTAATGATTAGATGAGTTGTTAGCTTTTGAAGAAACAAGCCTTAATAGCATTGGAATCAGTCTCTTTACTTATGGACTTAAAGTACTCCCAAAGAATGCTTGCTTTAGTTATTACTCTTTATTCAAATACTAACTGACTTTTCCATAAGATCCAAAATATTAGCTGGAAGGGACCTCAGAGAACCTCTGGTTCATTTTACAGATAAGGAAACTGAGACCCAGAGCAGTTAAGATGACTCAGGTAGTAAGTGACCAAATGCTAGTTTCACTTCCTATTTTTCCAGGATCCTTATTGGTTTTTCAGTTATTGGAATTAGCTGTTAATCTTTTCATTTATAGTCACACAATTTTTTTTTGAATGCCTGTACATTTGAATTGCCTAAATGTTTAGAAAAAGTATAAAACATGCCTCTCGCCCTCAGGGTGCTTATAGTTACTCAACAGTATGTAGACTCCAGTGGTTTTCTCAATGATGGCTTCTCTCATTTTGTCAGTTTTCAAGATTCTCTTCATCCCATCAGTCCATCACCTGAAGTTAGCTCTTCTTGGTAGCCAGGGACTTGGATTAATTTCTTGAACTGATTTGTTCAGTGCTCTAGTACATGTGCTGGTGGATTTCAGCGGCGAGTCGTCGTCTGTCAAGATGAAAATGGATATGCTGCAAATGATTGTGTGGAGAGACTCAAACCTGATGAGCAGAGATCCTGTGAATCTGGCCCCTGTCCTCAGTGGGCTTATGGCAACTGGGGAGAGGTGAGATTGCCTACTGCCTTCTGTTTACTTTGTTGGTGGAAGTGGTATCAGTCATTCCAGGCTAATTGTCCCATTGTTTGATTGGGGCAGGGAAGGTGTGGAGACAGACCCAGGGGGAAGTCAAGACCTGAGATTTCATTCCAATTGGAACCTACCTCCAAAGAATAGCTCTACACTGATGCCTGTTGACAACTCCTATAATTTATCTCATTAGACAGCTACCTAGGGGCAGGCATTAAGAGATAGATAGTCTCACAGCCATTGTATGGCAAAGGAAAAATTTAAATCAAGTTCTTCCTGATCCTGTGGCCAACTTTCTTTCTAATAAGTTATGCCATCTTTCCCATAGGTTATATATTTTAAATAAGGTGCAAACACCTATAAATTCTGCCTCTAGCATTTACTAATCCACCAAGTATTTATTAAGCTCCTACTGTTTGTAAGACCTTTAGTAGGTTGTGAGGATAAAAAGACAATACCCTCCCTCCCAGCCTCTGCCCTCATTGAAAACCTCTGAGCCTCAGTTTCCCCATTTGTAAAATGGGGATGATACTACCTCCCCTACCTCTCATTCTCCATCTGTAAAATGGGGATGATACTACCTGCCCTATGTACCTTATAGGATTGTCAAATGAAACAATATATGTAAAGAGCTTTGCAAACTTTAAAGCTATGTGTCAGCTCTGTCATTATTGTTCTTACTAAAATCATTCATTTGAATCATTAAGGCAATAATCTTGAACTATCAGCAATTTTTTAGGATCTTTCAGGAAGATACAGCACTTGCGGCCTTTTAAAGGTGTTTTAATGATTAAATGAGTAATTAGTAGTTAATGTATGAAAATACTCACTGGAGCAGTATTGACTTTTGCCTCATTATTAATGGCCTTAAAGTATTCCCAGAGTTTATTTTCTTTAGCCAGTAAATCTTTTTCTCAAGTCTTCTTTCCATTTGAGTTTTAAGCCTACTTTTTCATTCTACCATAGATTCCCATAATCCCCAACAAAGGGAAGAAGAAACCATCAAGCCTCTAACCTCCTCATTTTACAGCTGAGGAAACCGAGATCCAGATTGATCCAGGGACTTGCCCAGGGTGATAGAGTAGTAAGGGGCAGAACTAGGGTTTCAACCCCAGTCCCCTGACTTCCAATCCATCTCCTTTCATGCAACATGCTACTTCTGTTCACAGGTTCCCTGGGCTCTGAAGAAACCCAATATTCTGAATTTGGAAAGCTTTAATACATGCAGTGTGATTATTCCCATCTGAGCTGTGTTTTGCTCTTTGGAGTGGATAATTATTAATGCATCTTCTATTTTTTAACTCCTCAGCTGTTCTAATTTGCTGGGACATGAAAGTTTGTCTTGAAGTACCTAAGCCCATTTCTAGCAACTTTTGAATTCACAGGATAGAACAAACAACATACCTTGTTGAGTTCTTCTCTTGTCTTAACTACATTTTATAGGGTAAATATGAGGATTGGAGGTTGGAAAAACCATGACAAAGTACACATGAAGCCCTTTGAGCCTAGTGGGTAATCATTCTGAACACTCACCTCCCTAAAATCATTTGTTCAGTTGTGTTAAACGTGTAACTAATAGGCTGCAAGCAGCAGTCAAGATTTTGGTTGGCTTCCGTCAGCTCATATTGGCAGACTCTGTTAGGAGAACAGAAGAGGAACCTCTGCTTGGCGTTGTATGTACATACTGCCAGTTTCCCTGAGCTCCTCGGAGAAGCCAACCCTTCTCTGCCACAGATTTCTCCCCTGGGATTATGACAGGGCTTCTGCTATTGCAGAAACACCAAAAGAGTCAAGAGCTGTGTGTGATTTATGCTGTCATCACTAGCCAGAGGAGGCAGTTTCTGTGGGAGGCCTGGCTCCTGATGCTGTGACATCAGGGAAATGAAATCCCTTTTTCCCTAGCCCTGTTATCCAAGAAGCACAATTGTGTTCCTGTATCAAAAGGCTCTAATTTCCTCAGAAATTAGAACATCCCCTCACATTCCTTGCAGATTGCAGTATGTGTTTGAGGAAATGGAGTCAGCTTCAAAACCATATGATGGAATCCTAAAGAGAATATTAGAGAGTGGAAATAAGGCAAGCTCCTTGAAATAGCTGGCAAGTCTTAGTTGTATGTGCTTGGATTCGTCTTAGATACTGTTAGAAAGTTTGGGCACAAAGCAAAGAGCCAACGTTCTGGAGTTAGAGGTACTGAGTTCAGATCTCTTCTGTGGCACTACTTGTGAAACCTTGGGCAAGTCAACTTCGTGAATCTCGCTTCCTTCATCTCTAAACTGAAAAGGTTGGACCCCATGATCTCTGAGGACCCCTCAGCTATGAATCTAGGATCTTATCACAAAGTCTCCCTTTACCTTTAGTTAGGTGGCCTTCTGTTTATGTAGACTTCAAAGGAAAGGCAGTGAATTGGAATGGGAAACCATTGTCCGTAGTACCTTGTACTTAAAGAATTCCAATGCTCTTTCCACCCATGCAGGTGGCACCCAGGCTCATGCTTCAGGTGCTGTGGTTGGGGGAAAAAAATACCATCATCTGGTTACCAACATGCTAGTGATGGTCCTACCTGAACTTAGGTTGGCTGAGCTTTAGACAATAACCTCAGAGTTTGTCTAGGGGGTACACATATACTTTTTTAATCTGACAGGACTCGCTAAAGCCTGTGTTTGCTGGCTTAGCCTTCCAGACCCCAGGTCACTTCCATACCAGAATGAGACATTGGAGTAGAACATTGGTGGAGATTAACTATTATAGACCTTCATATTCTCCATTCAAAGTATGGCCTTATTTATCAAACACCTGCCTATCCTCTGTTATCATGGGATTCCATTGTAGCTGAGAAATTGCCATTACAAAAAGAAAAAAAAAAGCCTTCCAGCCCTTGTTTGTTCTTGTGATGGTCTTCACCCATCTCCCTTGTCTTTCAGTGCACGAAGCCATGTGGTGGAGGAACACGGACTAGATTGGTGGCTTGCCAACGTCCCGATGGGGAAAGATTTACAGACCTGAGCTGTGAAATTCTGGATAAGCCCCCGGATCGAGAGCAATGCAATACTCATTCTTGTCCTCAAGATGCAAGATGGAATTCTGGCCCTTGGAGCTCGGTACGGCCCTAAATCTTAATGTTTGTTCGTTGGTGTCTAGGTGCTCCGTAACCCATCTAACTAGCCATGCCCTGTGCCGTGGTGTTTGGGGAAAAGCCACTGGGACAGATGCTGTTGTGTGTCTGCCAGAGCCTCTTTGACGATAGACTGGTTATGGTGGAAGGGATGGTTATTCTGTCAGGTCACTAGGGCCTATTGGATGCACCAGAGAGAGAACTTAACAATCGGTTCTCTTCCCCCTTCTTGGCTCAAAAGGGCAAGTACACTTCATAAAGGACTTAGCTAAAACAAAGAAGAATATAGTCCACTATTTTATATTTATACACTATACCCAGTAGCAACTATGGGATGTACATTTCAGTGTATCTCAAGGATCTATGATTTCATCAATACAAGCCCACCCTCCCCTATCCATCGATGTAGACTATGACCCCATCTATACTTCAACAGAAAGTTTCATGAATTAGTATGACACCCCCCCAAAAAAAAACACATCATCTGGTTAGCGAGTCCTTTGATGATGAATCTTTTAGGATATATTAAAAACAAAAAAAGAATTCTCTAATTTTGGCAGACTGAAGATAAGCTCAAAATTTTTCATTTCCAAAGTTAAATACTGGTAGTTTTTGTTTGAATATATTTTGTACAAGTTGAACTTTTTGCAGTTCCTTTCGTCTTGTGATTGAATAGGGTAATAATCTGCTTATTGAAGCCAAAGCAAGGAGCCTGTGCTCCTTATTTTTTACCTTGAATGACTGTGCAGAGTGACAGGCTTAGTGATTACTGAGACTGTTGTCTATAAAGCAGACAAAGTGAAGATGATGGTAGAATCAAGGATTCTGGGGCAGGCTAGATGCCCCGAATGTTTGTGCTTATGTTGACAGTCAAATCAGTATCACCGCTTTTCCTCCCATCTGCTCCTAATAGTTATTGAGGCTGTCCTTACAAAGCATGCAAAGTGAACGTGGTGGGGGAACTGGTGACTTGGTGGCTGTCAAGAGGCTCCAAATGTTTTCACCTATCTTAAGACAGTCAAACCAGTTTGACTTTCTGCCTTCTCCCACCACCACTGTCTCCTTGAGTGTCAAGACTATGCAGAGCAAAGTGAACACAATGGTGAAACTGGTGATATGGGGACTGTTGAGATGTTTCCACCCCCATCTTGACCACAGTCTTAATGAATACTGAGACTGCATCTATAAAGGAAAGTGAACATGGTTGTAGAGCTGACGATTCAGTGGTTGTTGAGATGTCCTCAAATGTTTTCACTTATGTTAAGACAGTTTTACCATTTTTCCTTTCTGATCTACACTTCTGTTCCTACTGACAAATGTGCCGGTGTAAATTCCACGCACAGCTCTTTGTAAACAGAATCAATGACTGTGTAAATATGGTATTTCACTTCAGTAAATTGTACGGTGGGGGGAGGGGTGCAGGAGGGAGAGACACCTGCAATCTGGGATGGTTGCTCAGTAAATGCAGTAGATTTTCACATGAAGACAGTATTTGCACTAAACTCAAATTTAGTATCATGTTGAATTGTTGTTAGATTATAGTTTTATTTTTTTAACTCAGAATGGTTACGAGAAATATTCTCAACCGTTACAAAGTAAGTCACATGGTGGGCCCACTTATGGGCATCACTGGTACTTCATGTCATTTCTGAAGATGTAATGACCTTGGTCTCTGAGATGAAGTTATAAGCACTGGTTATGTAAATACAGTACTTAGAATAAGTCCAAGCCTGAAAGATCTAGAATATAGCTTTATTTACTGTTAGCTGAATTGTAAGCATTGAATTCTTGACAGATGCCTAAGAAAAGGATCTGAAATGCCATTGACTCTCTGAAATCTACAGACCAGTAGTTTTTCCTCCCTAGCATTATTTGAACTCTGACAATGGGACCGAGGGATGCTTTGTGGAAGATCATGATGCCTTCCATGATACTGACTTAGAAATATGAGGATCAGTCATCCCTAGGTCCCTTACTAGATAATCCTGCGTGCTTGAGTTTATTTTTAGCATGTACTTATGACCTCTTAGCATGAGTTCCATAAATTCAGCTAACCCCTGATTTTCAAAATTTCCTCTTTCAAGCTTTAAGGTGGAGGGTGAGTAGTCCCGAATTCTCTTTTCCCGTGATTTGGAGAATAGATCTATGTTTACCCTAGCTCTATACCGTTTAGCTCCATAAATAAATCTTCATACTTTATTCTATACAGAAAGAACTTATTTGGGAAAACAGATGAGGGGAGGGGAAGAACTTCATAAAATCATTGTGTATTAGAAGAGGAAAGGAGAGGGTTTTTTTAATCTAGCCTCTTGTTTTTACCATTAAGGAAACTGAGGCATAGAGAAGCAGAGTCTTTTTCCCATCATCTCATAGCTGGTTAATACTTTGTACAAATCCTTGATAAATGTCACTTCATTGGGGCCCAAGCTTATGTTACTCCTCAGATTTCCACAATTTGCTCCAAAGATAAGGACCTAGGGACTGTAGACTTAATGTTTTTAGTAAGTAGAAGAGAATATGTCCCAAACGTTGCCAGCTTCCACCCCCACCCCCTTTGTGTATCTCTTCCATTTTTGGTGCTCCCAAATGGATGGATTTTTACTGCATTTTCTAACCAAAGCCTTTAGTTTTTTAACTGGCGCCCTTATTTATGATTTCAATAGTGTAGGGAGTGCCCAGATGAGGCAACTCCTTTTACCTATGCAGGTCAGCATCTTCTCTGCCACTTAGAGTCCAAGAGTTGCCTCAAATGTTGCCAGGTCAGTTAATTCGCCCAGGATCACGTGGCTAAGATGTGTCAGAGGCAGGGTTTGAATCCATGTCTTCCTGTCTTTGAAGTCAGCTTTCTATCTACTCTACAATTCTGCTTCTTACCTTGGGACTTAACTCTAAACCAAGACGTAGAACTGGATCTTGAATGCAAGTCTTTATGGCATGGCTCTCCACACCAAGGCTCACTTCCTCTCCTGATCTCCTCTAGGAACAGCTAGACTGCTTTGCTAAGGCTCACATCCACTCACGTACGAGGAGAGCCGTAAGCATTAAAGTTTAGGTTGAACATTAGAAAGGTGTATTGCTTCAATCAATTTTAAAATGTATAATTTGATGATATTGAATTGAAATATTTTTGCAACTGCTCACTATTTTCTGAAACACTGGCATTGCAGGAGAAATGTGGTGCTTTGTTACCTTCATTCACAGAAATGTATATGTGCCCTTATTTGTTCACATATGTGAACAGCTAACATTGATGTTAAAAGAGCTCTAAAAACTCAAGTGGCTTTCTAGATAAAGTGACCACTGTCCATGCGTATCTTTAAAATTGCTTACCACATCAGTAACAAGTGAGACATCGTGGTTTTAATCATCATTTTAAAAGCTTAAAATCTAAAATACTTTATTTTAATAGCTACATTGGCTATGAACAGATTGTCCTAAATAGATTTTTATTATTCCAAATTTCCATGGCAGGCTTGATGTTCATTTGTGTGGGTGCTATGGTAATATTTCTTCCCAACTCTAAATTGAATCATTTCTCAGTCAGTTCTACCAATAGCCATAAAACTACTATAGGCATTTATATTTGGTGCTTCTATAATCAGAATTGTCAATCTTGCCAATATTCTACTTGAGGTGATAACATGTGACCAAGTCTCACCATTAGTTTCTCAGAGCTGTGTTTTTCTCTCCAAAATCACTCCCACAAAATGGAATCTATCAAAAAAAAAATCACTCCTCCAGGCTTTCTGTGTGAAACTTAAAGTAAATGTAACTTAAAGATATGGGCATAGCTTCAGTCAGCAAGATCTTCCAGATCTTTCCACTAGGCTTGTCAAATAGGCTGTTAGATTCTCTAGCCTAGGGCCCCTAATGTGAAGGGGCTTATGAGGCATGACTTAAATCTCTCTAGAATCTGGGTACCCAAGTTTAGCGTCTTCTTGAAGAAAAGATTCCAGAGATACTTAAAGAAATTCATCTGCAAAAGGGCTCTTCAAGTTTCTGGTAATATTTTATTGTTGAATTCTGGATTCTGGAGAGACTACAATGGAAAAAACCCCTACCCCTAATCCCTGGGAAGGAGAGGCATACTAATAAGTACACTTGATGATTCCTGGAGGAAGTCCTCAGGAGCATTCTAGATAGTGGAAGCATGGTCAGTAAGATGGTAGAACCATCAGAATTCTAGAATGCCAAGATAATGGATTCATGTTTGTAATTAAGGTGAATGACTGTGTAATGACTTCAGGACCCAGATGGGTCTGTGACTATTCCCTAGGCTTTCCCTGAATAGACTTCATTATGCCAATAGACACTGCTTAGGTCAGTTGTTCATGACAAACCTATAAACCCTTCTGTGACTAAAGTCTGGTTTAGGTGCCTTTGAATTG